TTTTTTTAATTCTTTGGTTTACCATTTTATAATCAACGGACTTGCAACCAAAATAATGGTTCGGTTCATGTGATGCATCGTCCACTGCATCTAATGATCGTTCGATATAATCGTCTAGCTGGGTCGGTAGTTCGAGCAGCCACTGACCGGTTGCACACCACGATTGCTCTAGTGGATAATTCACATCCTAAGAGACGCCCTACAGTGCACAACGAAGAAGCTATTGCTGCTGTGTGTTTCGAAAAAAGACCCGAATGAGTGCAACCACGAACGCGCATAGCAATTCAAGCAGCTCCCATCCACTTTAGAGAAAATTTTGCTGAAGAATTGAACCCGAATGAACATCAAACATGTCTCAAGTACGATGAATGTGACCTAAACGAAATGGCCACCTATCCGATTTGCACAAGAAAGTGATAAAAATCCATAAGTCATTGTTGAGACGCCGTTACACCCTCAAAAACACACTTCTTGGTGTGCTTTATTTTGACAGAGGGGATTATTGATCATGTCACAGTCAATGGGAATGCTATAGAGCAGTGATGACTTGGTGGATGTTGACGTGGATGACCTTCGGTTCGGTTCGGAGGGAACCTTTTGTTGAGAGTAGTCGTGGGCCTCCAAGACCATGAAATTACTTTTGTACGCAGATAAGCCCGAGAAGATCTATGCCTTGGAAGAGAATATTAGGCGGGTTAGCTAACATGTCGCTCCGAATTCCTGAATTTATTATACTATATATAATTGGCGCTTTGAAAAACCCCTTAAGCGATTTTCGGCCGAGCTCCTCCTCCAATTTGTGGTCTTTGCGTATTGATGTATTTTCAACAGACGGAGAGGCCTACAGTTTATACTAAGCCGCCTCCGAGCAGCTGATAGTTTTTTATATTATTTAATAAAACGAAATTCGCCACAACATTAAATAATTTGTGTTTTAGTTCTTCGTGAAAACCACATGCCTAAAAAACACCCTTTACGTATGTATGCGCATATATGTCTACCTCTACGTGTTTATCTAACAAGGTAATATTACATATGACCATATTTGTTGTTATTCATGCATATATTTTGTATACGACTACACCACGGTTTCAATTCCCAGACACCCGACTGCCGACTGCCGACCGTCGACTGTGGGCCAAAATGGATACAAGGAATACGAGTAGGAGAGAACACCCATAGATGAATTAGACAAAGCACGATTAAACTAACCGAGCGAACACAACTGGTTAAACAAACAGGGGCAATAGAAAAATAAAAACAACAACAATACACTAAACTCAAACAACCGTAACAGCGTAAGAACAATGACAGAAACACTAGTCCAGCTGACAAGCGAAGTATGGAAGAATCAGAACACATAACAGCCAGCCAGCCAGCCAGCCAGCGAGCCAGCAAGGAAACGACCTTATTCTCAAGTACCATTTTCGACACGCTGCCACACAAAGCGTGACATCTTCTCCGGTGCGCGCTCGCCAGTCGGCTTCGACAGCTTTTCATACATATTTTTATAGGTGAAGTTGAGACAAAGGCTCGAGCCGCACAGCACACATTTGCACTATATATTATATTAATAGAAGTTGCAGCCACATTTTCACATACATATGTATGAGTGTATAAAAATTGGCAAAGCAATTGTGGTGACACACAACCCAGCTCGGGTAAACGGTGTACTGTACCGGTCCCGTAATGGTGTTGTCAAGAGCAAGAGTTCGTAAATAAACTCGAAACCAGCGCGTGTTATGTGTTGCTATTGTTGTTGTTGTTTGATATTGTGATGAGTACACGTATGATGACTGGAGTGTTGTTGTAGACGTCAAACGACTCAAATGCGGCTCAGTATCAACAAGCGCATCCGTAATTGCGCCTCCCATCATGGACGGAGGCGTGACACAATGGCATACAATCATCGACGTTCAAAGTATCACATTACAAAACGCATAGACAGACGTGCGCCACACACGGTCACTTGCCACACGCTGCAAACAAGTGCTCAAAGATAGAGACCCAGGCAACCAAATGTGGAGTGCGCTGAAGAGTGAAAGTGGGCTTTCACTGACAAGGCGCTAAGGTGCGTTTGTGAAGCGCTGCGGCTAAGGTAAAGAAAGAGTCTTATTATGAACTCTGCACTCTGCACTTCGCTGAAGTATATTTCGGCCGAGCTCTTCCTCTAATTTGAGGTGTGCGTCTTGATGATTCCCCAACCAATGGAGCAACTCATATTTCTCGCTGGACATATATGTACAAGATACGAAGGGACCCTGCCGGGAAAGTGCTATTGCTCCGCTCCACATATGTAAGCAGACACACGGTACATTTAAGAAGAGATCCTTAAAACGCCTGCTTAAGCACCTTAAGGAATTCCCATGTGTACAGCAGAGCTCTAGGTATTGAAGGAAGAAAAGGCTAGCCTTACAAATATAAAGAACTAGCTATTTTTCAAATCCTCCCAAACCCTAGGTCCTAGCCCTAGATGATCCGTAAAAAGATTTCCAATTCCACTACTTTTGCAACTCCGTAGGTTGACTGGGTTGAGTCTTGCTATGAATGACTCTGATAATAAGCGCATACTTATGTACATTTCTACATGTTACAGCAGCGCCACCGACGACGTTAATGAAGCTACAACAACAACGTCAAGTGGAGGACGCACAGTGCAGTGCAGTGCAGTGCTGTCGATGGCTCATCCAGTGCCACTCCAATGCCATATTTGCTATTAAATAGCATAGATACCTGCATAGCCGCACATGCTGTTGCCTCCAGGCGAGCTCAAGCTCTTTTCATCACCGCCACGGTCTGGAGCATTTGGAGGACACGGCGTGGCTTGACGGATGGAAGCGGGTGGTGGTTACGGTGCGAGTTATGCGATATCTTAAATCTCCATACTTGGACTTGAAGTTTCAGATTATTTAGATGACACCTAAATATGTTTGTTGGTACGTACATAAGTATGTACGTATGCAGCTCCTCTTAACTGTGAGGCAGGCATGAAAGATAGTCACACATGCCTGATGTGAGCATGTCTGTCCGTAAGCTTAATTGGTTGCTGTCTTCATTACAGTTGGAGAGATTTTTCTATGTACATACATATACGTGTTTGTATGTATGTATGTGTATATATGGAATTACAGGTGTGTTTGCCTGCCCATACTGACACACATTTGACTCAAGCCTGTGACAATTAGTTAGTTAGCCTGTTGCCTGAAGAATTTCCGGACTTTTCCCTTTTGTTTGGCTAAGACTCAAGACGGTTTTGGATGTGTGTATTTGTATGTCAACTGAGTAGCTGTAGTGATTGCGCCTGTGTTGATGATTGCTTTGATATTAAAATGTAGAGCTTGGGCGGATTAAAAGTTGAACTAAGCTCATGCATACATACATACTCGTGCATGGGCCTTAATAATAAAAATTACACACATGCACATCATACAAACTTGCATAACTCTAGAATTAGGTCGAGAAACGAGCAACCTTAGCTAGTCATGCAGTTATAAGAAGAAGTGCGAGCTCAGTACGCTTTCCTCAAGAGAAGCGCACGTTAGGTCCATGTCTTCCTGCCCCATCCTGGTCCTGATAAGGTTAATTAATTTGAATCGTTTTATATGCTCAACATCCGAGATACCTTTAATTCTCGTCTAACTGTGCTTATACATTGGAGTGTTTTTATGTTTCTGGAATAAGAGAGTTTGTAGGGGAGGTTTGGGTTCATTAGGGTTGTAACGTATTCAGTGACTCGTAATAGGTAAAAAACGAGACATCATTGAAGAGTGACCATAATGTATGAGATGCCATTGGATTATGGCAACTCTTGCCCCGGAAAACCCTAATGTACAAGTGTCACAATTGTTTAAACCAGCAAGTGAACCGCTTAAAGGCGACCCGTGTCCAGACAAGAGCATCGAGATGACCACTCCAGAACTCATCCAAAAAGTTGTAAGATATGTTTCTGACGATACTCAACTAAAAAAAAAAGCAGCTGGCAGAAATACAAAAGTGTTTCTTTAACTGAAGAATACTATCCTTAAATATTAGATGGACTAAAATAAGATATTAAAGAGAAAAAACGGTGATAATTTTGCCGGCCGTTTGGTCGTCTGGCCACAAGAGCCGTGTTTTGCTGGCTACCCTGCATAAGGTTGGCTTCGATATTTTGAATAACCAAACCTACAGCCCAAATCTGGTCACGAGTAATTCTCGCCTGTTTTCAGAAATGACAAATAACTGCCATTGAACTATTGATTAGTTGTAACTTGACTAACTGATTTAATCAAATAATTACTTAATTAATTAATTAAGCATGTACCTTTGGCTTGCTGATTAATAGTAACTTTATTAGATTATTAAATTAAGCAATTGCTCCATTACGTAATTAATCATGCGTCATTGAACTATTAATTTATTGTAGTTTGATTAATTAATTCAGTTAAGTAGTTTAATTATTTATTTAATTATTGATTATTTTAATTATTATCACTCAAGAATTAATTTAAAAAAACTTATTAAGACATATAACCACTAATTATTTAATAATGCCTTGCTAATTGATAGAAAATTAATTGATTAATTTAAAAAGAGGGTTGTGAGTCATTGACTCACTGATTAATTGTATCTATATTAGTTAATTCAATCACCTAGATTAATTTATTGATTCAATTTTTAAATAATCAATGTAAAATCGACCTTGTATAAGCGGTATAATTAATTTATTGGTAATTAAATAATGATCAACTAATTAAGTCACATTATAATCGGTTTACGGTGATCAAAGAAATAAAGTTCAAACAGCAACTTGAAACATAGACTAAAGATTTTTTCTCGCAAATTTATGTTGTCTACAGGCATTTGAATGTCGCTCAAGCGCAATGGAGAGCAAATTAAGTACACTAATGATTTTTAAGGTTTGAATAACAAAAATATATTTAAAATAAAATGGCTCAAAACACTGAATATTATAGCTAAGCAACCTTTGAATAATATTTTATATTTATAAATACACTTACAAGGCGACTTTAAGATCTTAAATGGACGTCTCCGTTATCGTTCTGTAAGGAAAATATAAAAAAATATAATAAACAAATCAATTCAATACTATTTAATAATATTTATTTTTATTAAATGTTTTAATTATAAATCATGACGACAAGTGCACATAACAGTAATAATAAATATATTATATAAGTAAATACTTAAATGTATGTGAGCATGTTAATAGAAAATTGACGCCTGCAATCAAGTAAAAAAATGTATAAACAAAGATAAAAACCTGAAAAGTGCATAAAATTTGCATATAATTGAAATAAAAATATAATAGAAATATGTAAGCGAAGAGTTGATTATTTTATGGGGTAGGTATTACATATAAACAGAATAAAGGAAATATATATCTTTTATGCACACCCGTAAGTAAATTACAAATACTTTATTATCAAAAGCGGGCAAAATAAAATTCTATTTAATCATTAAAATAAAAATCATTGAACAAAAATAAATATTTTTTTAAAAAAATTTGCATTAAACCCTTCTAACTATTGGCAATTTTTTTTGGCTGAAATAAAATAAAATAATTTAAAACAAAAGAAAGTAAAATAAACTAAAATTAAAAAATCAAATAAAATAAAGTAAAATGAAATAAAATAAATAAAATAACAAGAAGTATAATAATATTAAACAAAATAAATTAAAATCAAATAACACAGAAAAATTAAATAAAATTAAATAAAAAAAATTATTTGAAATAAAGTAAAGTACAACAAAATAAACTAAAGTAAAATAAAAAGAAGTGACATAAAATAAAAGAAAATAAAATAAAGCTAAGTTAAATTAATTAAATTAAAAATAAAAGAAAATAAAATAAATTAAAATAAAATAAAATAAAATAAAATAAAATAAAATAAAATAAAATAATATAAAATAAAATAAAATAAAATAAAATAAAACAATGTAAAATAAGAAATATAAAACAAAATTAAATGAAATAAATAAAAACAAAAAAAAATACAATAAATAAAATAGATTCAAATAAAAAAATATGAAATATTTTAAAATAATTTAGTATAAAATTAAATTAAATAATATAAAAAAATCAAATTAAATAAAACAAATTAAAAATAATAATATAAAAAAATTTAATAGATAACATAAAATAAAAAAATAAAAATTAACTTAAATTAAATTAAATTAAATATAACTAAATAAAATATAATACAATACAAAGTGAAATACGTTAAATAAATAAAAACAAAAAATAAAAATAAAAATAAAAAAATATAATAATTAAATTAAATTAAAATAAAATATGAAATATAATGAAATAATATAACATAAAATTAAATTCAATAAAACAAAACAAAAAAAAATGACATAAAATAAAAGGAAATAAATATAAATTAAATTAAATTAAATAAAAAAAATTAAAATAAAAAATACGTAAAGTATAAGAAAATAAGACAATATAAAACTAAATAATATGAAACAAAATAAAGTGAAATAAAGTTAAATAAATAAAAACAAAAAAATTATATCTAAAAAAAAATTAAACAAATAAATATTAAAAACAAAACAGCACAAAATAAAATAAACATAAGTAAAATAAAATAGATAGAGAAAATGAAATAAAATAAAAGTTTGGTATAAAACAGTTCTGACTACAAGCATTTTGGTAGCTATCATTCAAAATATTTAAAGTAATTAAAATAAATTAAATTCAATGTTCGAAAGCGGAAATTGCCAATCAAAGAAAAACATGTTGGAAAAAATATATGCCGAAAACTTCTTTTTATTTACTTTACTCATTTCTAGGCACTTAAATATTTAAGTAGACATTACAAAAGAAATTAATTTAATAATCCACTAAAGAGCGCATGCGTCATCGCCAATAACAACGCAGAATGCGCAGCGTTGCGTGGGTCTGGAGGAACTTGTTATGGTCAAGTTCACCACGACGCCAATTGGCCACCATATACGGTTTATTCAATAATGAATTGACTGAACCGACACATTAGATATGCACATACATATGTACATGCAGACAAATGTGTTTATATTTTTATATATATATATACGTGTATAAATGTAAGCAAATAGGCAAAGCAGCGACCAACAGGCGTCTGTAGAACAAACCACCCAAACAATGTCCGTAAGCATAATGTGCATATCCTCAAACAAACAGAGAGAAGCCTACGTAGAGAGCTTGTAGAAAATATACAGTTGCACCTTTATTGTGTATGTATGTTTGTGCACAGAAAAAAAAAGAAAAAAAATAATTTATGCACATTTTACTATCATCTCATAATCTCTAGTTTGTCATAATCAATCAGCTCAACCAATAACATTCAACCATCACACTCGATCTAATGCTGTATTTCATTCAATGCAGCCTGAAGAGTTCCTACTCTCACGTGCGTCTAAGAAATTGTGAATGAAAATTTCGCCACTCTAAACTACAATCCGCCACTATCTTCAATTAGATCACTGCTTGGTTCCAGTTCTTTATTTTTTATTTTATTTTCCAATTTTTTTAAGGAATATGCGCACAAATCGCTACAAAAGTTTCTTCTTACGCAGCCAAAAAAGAAAACCGGACAGACTGCCAGTCGCGCTCGTATTATTCAATTGCCCATAAGCCGCACATACATATGTACTTACTTACAATTCCGCTTAGGAAAGCTTTAGAGCTGCGTACATTTGTGAATTAAACACGTTCTATGTACAATTTCCGGCATGAGTGGGTTTCATTGAGCTCGTCGTAGTTTTTCTTTCCTTTTTTCTTTCCTTACTATAACAACACCAAACTCTCCGCTATTGCAAATGTTACGCAAATATTTTGGTTCAAACAGGGTGTCGTGTCTATTGCACAGATAAGTAGTAGCTGAAAGCTTAAATTAGATTAGGTTGAAGTACATAACTTTCGATGTGTGAGCATCAATACTCTTAGACCAGTGAAGACCCATTGTGATATCACGGTGTTTACCCGATTACTATGTGAGCTTCACTATCCAACTACTTCGATTGCGTTACAAATTTCATTAGATAATTTATCTTTAATCAAAATGAAAGCAGATCCTAGATATCAGCACCTAGCCCTACCCAAGACATGTCGGTCACATAGTAGATGAGAAACCGTTTCTTGCACTTCATCGTTCTTACAGCTTCTACAGTAACTCCTGGAGATGATTCCCAGCCTTGCCGCATGTCATCATTTCAAGCAGTGACCTGCTAAGACTTTTATAATTTTAGAGATTTCCTCTCTTTGGATAGAGTTTATTTTGTGTGAGCTTTATCTCCCTTTTTTGGTCAAGTTTGACCAAAAATTCTGCAAATAGAATTAGGGTTTCTTTTAGTTCGGCCTGTTCATAAATAAAAAAAATCTTTGAGTAGCAGTTTGCAATGAGTTTTTTGTCAGCAAAAATCTGCTTGCTAGTGCCTAGTCTGACAAGTCTCTTTGCTTTACCTTACAATATCCCTCTTTTTTAATGCGGCCCGGAACACAAATGAAAGATAATCTGCTCTGTTTGGCCTTCAGCGGTAGACATCGATCTAATCAATGGCGTTGAAAGCCTTCTCATATCTGCTCACTATGTTGGGTATCCAGTTCAGGTTCGTGTTCAGAACCGCGCAAAGAAATTTTGCCTGGGTTCTAAGGTTAGATCAACCGCATTTAAAATTGGCAGTTTAATTGTCGCTAATTTATACCTTTTAGTACATTGGACCAGTTCCACTTTATTTGAATTGACGCAAAGTCAAAGCTGTGCAAAATCAGTTTCAAAAACTAAAAGCCTAAAAAATTAATTCTTATAATTTTTAAATATTTTTTTTGCAATATCCAGCTAAGAAACTGAGGCATGCAATTCAGCACTTTCCTTAGCATAGTTTCAAACCACAGCCATTGACCCCCTCCGTGGCAAAAGACTCACATTAATTCAGAAATATTCACATAAATAAAAATTTTGTATATATTTCTACATACTCAGTGCATACATAAGTATATAATGCAAATGATTTGAAGAAGAAGAAGCACCATAACAGCAAACGACCCTCGCCGTTTATGTTTGTGCGTCAATTGCAATGGCAATCATAAAAATGTGCAAAAATCATTTGCGCATGCGCTTTTAGAATTTTTTATTAACTCAACAGTAGCGCGCCCGTTATAAAACGCCGGAAAGGGCATGCATACATACACGTATATATAAACAAACAATAATATAAATGCTATGCAAACAAAAGGAAATTGAAAGCGAAAATAAATGAAGAAAAGCGAAACAAAAAAGTTTTACTTTCAATTCAGTAAGCAGAAGAAGTGTAAAGAGGAATGAGAAATAGGCAGAATGTTGCATTTTGTAGACGTCTTCATCACGGAATTGAGTTGCAGCGCAGAGAGTGGTGATGACGGAGACTTTGCCTAAAGTGAGAATGTGTTTGCTTATGAAATTTAATTAAAACTAATTAAAAACAACGCCCTCAAAGTAATTAAACTTGTTAAGAGCGCAGACTAATTGTAGGCTAATGTGTTTAGTTCGGATAAATAAAAATAAAATTTAATAACAAAAATAAGAACTGGTCAAAATAATATAAAAAATTAAATATAAAAATCAAATAAAATAAAATAAATTAAATTAAAATAATATCAAATAAATTAATATAATTTATATAAATAATATTTATATTGAATGACAGAAATAAATTAAAGCGAAATGAAACACAAAAAAAAATGAAATAAACAATAATTGAATAATAAAAATAAAATAAAATAAAAATAAAACAAAATCAAATGAAATAAAATTATATAAAATAAAATAATAATAACAAATCAAATAATTTAATTTATATAAATATAAAAAAAATTAATAGCAGAAATAAATTAACGTGAAATACAATACATTGAAATGAAAGAAAAACAAAATAAATAAAAAAATTAAATTAAATAAAACAAAATCAAATAAAGTAATTTTAAATAAAACAGAAAACAATTAAATAAAATAGGACAAATTGAAATAAACAGAAATAAACCGAATTAAAGACAAATAATATAAAATAAAGCAAAGTA